CACTGAGCCAGGGTTGTAGGGAAGAGGTTCTTCTCCTCATCGGCATGGGCACACCGTCCCAATGCCAAGGGCACATGGCCTGGTAAGGCCCAGGGTGGTGAGAGCTCTTGTTCATCTCCCCCCCTTTCCTGGCCTGCCAGGCCAGTGCTCGGATCAAGGGTCTGGTAGAAATTTAGGGGGGACCCCCAAGCATGCCCCCTAAAGGGCCTGGAATGGCTTTTAGGGGGAACCCCACGCACCTTTTTTAACGGTTTTTACTGTTGGGTCCCTCCTAACCCTCCTACCGAATCTACAGGGTCTGGTATAGATTAGGGGAGGGACCCCATGCTGGTTTTGTTTTAATAAAAATTTCTTTTTTTTTTTTAAATGTCAGTCCTGCTGTAGCACGTTCTCTACATTGTACAGATGTGCAACTTTGCAGGTAGTTTAAGGGGACCCCCCAGGCGCTATATTTAAAAGAATTTTTAATTTTTTTTTCTTTTTACTTTAAACAATGAAAAATGACTGCCCCTTTAAAAATGGCACTTTTTGAAAAAAAACTTTCACTGATTCATGTCCCTCAGAGCAGTACCCAAGTCCCTATACCCCTTTTATGGCCAATAACTTGCATATAAGCCTTCAAAATGGGCACTTTTGAATTTATGAGTTTGAGTCACATAGACTTGCATTATGTTTGATGTTTGCGGTAGAACTTTCTTTATATTCGAATGTTCTACTGCGAACTGAATGGGGGTGTCATACCATCATTATTCTCCAGTTCCTGCCAGGAGCATGTGCCACAGTCAACACAAGTGCAGCTAGCAGGGCCCTTAAGTATATCCCTCCCACCTTGCCGGCGTCTGACATCACCAACGAGGTGCGATTGTCATTGGCGCCAAAGCGCCGTCCAAAGACAATGCACACCACATTGCACAATGTCATCACGAGCATGAAACCATCCACACCATTTTGGGAAGCCTAGCTGATCCGCCCACAGGAGCCAGAGAGTTTGGGCGCTCCCACTACCTCTAGGTGAAGGGCATTGCGATGGGGACCAAGTGTGCCCCATTGTATGCCAATCTGTACCTGGGGGGGTGGGAGCGTAACCTCTTTTTCAGGGAGGCTTTATGAGAGATACAAAGTAATGCGTTAATCTGGTGTAGATTTATTGATGACGTGTTCATGATTTGGACTGGTTCCTTGGAAGAGTTGCATAACTTTGTGGAGATCCACCCATTGGTTTTGTATTGGGTGGTTCAGACATCAATCAACCATTATTGTTATATTTTTGTGATGGTTGTGTAAAGGTGCAAGTGATCCTTTGTAATTATGGCCAATTATTGGGGTACAGCTTTTGAAGGTTTAATGAACCAGATCCATTCATCCCAAAGTGCCAATTCTTTCTGAGATTATAAATAATGCTGAAGAAAAAATCTTGTACATATCGGTACTTTCAAAAATACATTAAAGAAAGAATTGCTCCATGGGAGTTACGTGTACAAATGTTTCCTAATATTAAAAAGGTAGAATATCATTTTAGGATGGAGTGGGAGGATAACCTACAGACCTGTTCTTTTAAAATGACGGAGTTATTATGTCAACAATATTCTAACGATCTAGAACAAATTGATAAGGAGATTGTAAAATGACACACTGATGATGCTAACTTATTGTCTGATCCCACATTTGAATAGCAGGAAAATCAATTAAAGAGTCACTTGGAATCATTTGTTGTGGATATTCTTAGAACTAAGGAAAAGAAATGTATGTGGGACAAATTAGCTTATGATACCAATCAAGCATATAGAGGGACTATTGATGGTCCCATAAGGCATAAAAATAGAGTGATACCAACTCAAGCGGCTACTGGAAATTATCCTAATGATTCTGATACATCCTCAATTTCCTCTGTTTCTTCTTCACAGTCTAATGCACATGCACAACAATCATTCACTCAAGGGTCTCACAAACGTAAGAATGAAGGAGAAAATCTCCAATAGTCTGCACCAAAATGTTCACTGAATAGTGGTCAGGCACGACATTCCTCTCGATCCTCTCATAATCATTCTGCACCTTTTCAATAGGGTTCTTCTCCTCTCTCTGGTAAATCGGGCACCATACCATCTACTGTTTCTCAAACACAAAATTTACCAGCTTCAATGAAGGTAAGCCAGACTAATACATTCACAGCTTCTGCTGATCTTCGCACAGCACATTTTTTTTACCACAAGCAACACCGGACCCCAGAAAGGTTTTCAATGCGGAGACTCAGAATCCCAAATCATTAGCAAACAAACTAAAGTTGAATTGAGAAATGTATCTTTTTTTTTCACTCACAGAACAACAGATTCAAGTCTTGAGTTTAGGCCTCACATTCTGCCCTACACAGAAAATTGTCCAATCTGATTTGATCAAGGATGTACTCTACATCTTTTCTCACAAAAATTATTGTACAAAGTATTATATGATAAGAACAATCAAACTAGGTTGAGAACCCTTGATAATCCACTTTGTAAAGACCTTACTATAACTGATATGAAAACTTTCAGTGAATGAATGGATTTGTGGGAAAAATGAGGAAGTACTCACAGACTCTGATCTATTGGAGTCAGGTACCACTCACTCTGGGAATGGTGACACACTACAAACCTAGATCCCAGTCTTTCCCACTGCTTAATGGAAATCCAAATATCTGGGCTGTCCACTTCTAATATTCTGTTGGAACAACAATCAGCAATTCACACATTATAACAAGATCCCCATATTATTACTAAACCTTCAGAGAAAGGAAGCAACATAGTGGTAATGGATTGTCCTCAATATGAGCAGATGGTATTGAACACTGTTAATAATCAGGAGTGGTATAGGAGGACTTCTGAAGGGTTTATTGTTCCAGTAAACAGATGATAAAGAAATCCTATTGGAGGTGCATATCACAATACTGGGTTTGACAAAAAACTTGGGAATTTTTAAACGTGAAGGCTCCAAGTTAAAAGACTTCTTAAGTTTCAAGCCCTTTTTGTGAAAATGAGGGCATGGTCCTACCATATAAAGCTCTACTATAGGTAAAGAAGCTATTTGATCTCTGTGTTAAATGTTATATGTAACCACTCTTAATGTATGAATACAATGTTTTAATTACTCTTCATGATTTCCTTGTGGGGTGTCTTCCCTGTGAATTACCAGGGGTATCCATGGTGATAACATTGAAGTATTTGTGTGAATTGGATTTGGCTATTTAAGTTCCTAGCAAAATATGGTAGAGTTTTATGTTGAAGAATATGGCTTTTGTGGCTTTGATAGGTGACTATGGGGTTGGATCAGTGGCCTTACAGATACCTGGGGTGTCCCTCTAGGGAAGGGCACAGTGGTGTTTATTTCTTGGGATGGGCACTGACCTGTTTCTGCTCCCTTATGGGCACTATCTTGTTGGGCCTGGTTTCTTGGTTGGTCCAGCTGTTCATCCTGCTGGAGTGTGATTGGCTGGGCCTCTCTGGCTCCGGCCGGTGGATCAGCTGGGTTACCCAAGATGGCACAGATGGTTTCCCGCTCATGCGCATGATGACACTGCGCAATGTGGCATGAGTCATGATGTCATTGGACAGCGACACATGCCCTTTGGCGCTAATGGTGCCCGCACCTCGCCAGCGATGTCAGACGCCCGGCGAGGTGGGGAGGATACTTAAGGGCCTTGCTAGCCACACTTGTGTTGACTGTGGCACATGCTCTTGTTGGGAACTGGAGAATACTTTTGTCCTGATTGGTAAGATCTTTGATGAAGAAGTACTACTGGGACGGGAGTACTACTGGAAAGTGCAATGCCTGTTTTCCTACTAAATTTAAAATCCCTCTTTTTTTATCTTTTTGTTTCATTCATGTAGTTGGTGTACTCTCTGTCCCTCTAATGTTTTGGGGCAGAGGAAAGTTAATGTTTCTTCCAAGAAAAACTAGTGTTTATGCCAGTGGTGTATTTAGGTTTTGTGCTGCCCTAGGCAACACAAAAATTGGATGACCCTCCCCACCGCAGAGAGAGCCTGACAGTGACCTACAACACCTCTGCCCCATCCCCTCCCATCCTAGGGGGCCTTCCACTAACACCCACCCTGGCAACAGAAAAAAAGACACTCACCTTCACAGCTCTGGCCATCCCCAGGAGCAACAGTTGAGCTCTGCATACACCATCAAGCAGCCTACAGCCTCTGTCGGATTCCACCTGGTCCCCATGCCCCCCTAAAAAAAATGCTGCCCTAGGCAATTGCCTTGTTTGCCTTTTGGTAAATATTCCCCCTGGTTTATGCTGACTGATTTTGGTTGGACATGATGTGTGGGAGTATTGCATTCATCTCCTAAAAAGTAATGAAGGGCCTGGTGTAGCCTGTTTTTCATTAATATACACAGATATTATTTGTATGAATTATAATCAAAACATTGCCTATAGTTGTAGGATTGAATTTGGGATACCCATGTCCCCCCTATGGCCATTGATATCGCCCTTATTAAGTCCCCTGTCTTGCCACGGAAGCTTTTGAAACATGAGATAGTGTGCAGACTCTTGAGTATGGCACCCTTTAAGGAAATCATTATGATATTGAATTTGTGTTTAACATGTATTTATCACTGTATGTGATATTTGATATACCATGTGATGTTTCCTGTTTTCTATATGTCTGTTTAAGCACTTCACAACCTCACTATAGCCGAATGATGGCTATAGCGCAGTTGTCCAGTTCTGGGAGGGTGTCATATGATGTCCCCCCACACGCCCCCAGCAGCACACACACGTTGCTTTCCATGATCGCTGTGTCCTATGAACACAGCTGATCACATGATGAGGTAAAAGTACAATCACAGCAGCCTTTTACCACATGATCAGTTGTGTCCAATGGCACAGCAGGTCACCGAGTACATACAGTTGCCAGTTATCAGCAGCAATTTCCTCACGCTATCACAGCATAAGGAAAGTACTTCTGATAACCAGCAAACTTCACAGAGCAGATCGCACTGATGATCAGTGCCCTGATGATCAGTGCCCAGCAGTGCCACCCACTAGTGCCCAGCAGTGCCACCCACTAGTGCCCAGCAGTGTCACCCATCACTGCCCAGCAGTGCCCCCCATCACTGCCACCCATCAGTGCTGCCCAGCAGTTTCACCCATCACTACTGCCCAGCAGTTGCGCCAGTCAGTGCCTCCAGTAAGTGCTGCCAGTCAGTGCCAACAGTCATCACCACACATCAGTGCCGCCTATCAGTGCCCATCATTACTGCATATCAGTGAAGCATCCTCAGTGCCTCCTCATCAATGCCCACCAGTGCCGCCTCATCAGTGCTGCCTATCAGTGCCCATCAATGATGCCTATCCATGTCACCTCATCAGTGCCCATCAGTGCTGCCTATCAGTGGAGCCTCATCAACGCACATTAGTGAAGGATTACCGTTTTTATTTTTACTTTTGCTCTTTTTTTGTTTATAGTGCAAAAAAATAAAACACCCAGTGGTGATTAAATACCACCAAAAGAAAGTTCTTTTTGTGTGAAAAAAATGCTAAAAATTTCAGATGGGTACATTGTTGCATGACTGCGCAATTGTCATTTAAAGAGCGAGAAAGCTGAAAATTGGCCTGGGTATGAGGGGGGTAAAAGTGCTCGGTATGCAAGTGGTTAATAGTGACATCAAGTGCAGTGCTCATTAAATTCCCGAAGAAGCCAATTTATGGTGAAACATGTTGAGTAGAAGCTACTGCAAAAAATATACTCAGAGCTGTCTTGACCTCAGTTGTAATTGAGTGATTTTATTATTAATGCCATGGCCATTGGTGTTTGTTTTTATATGTTGTCATTCAATAAAACTGTTACAGTTTCTACAACATTGTAATATTGGATTTTATGGTGGCACCATTCAAAAATTTCAGTTTTTTCAATATTTGGTATATTTCTGTTTTGGGATTGAGTGCCTTTGGTTTCGAGACACCTAAACATTGTGTTGCTAAACCTCACAGGGGTGTTAACCCTTCCCTATGCTATACAAAAAATTTAAAAATTATTTTTTTTTGGCTTGAGTTACACTTACAAAAATTTAACGGATTCAACTTACATATAAATTCAACGTACTCTTGTTTGTAACATGGGGCTGCCTGTATCTGAAATCTTAGGAATAGATAAAGAATCCAGAAGATTTGCACCCCTCCAAATCTCCTAAGAGAATAATATTAGAGTTGCTAAAATTGAACTTCATTTAGCACTAAAGAGGGAAATGACTATAGGCAATACGTAGCAGTGCTGACTGCACTGCAGCTTTAAATAAAGCTCACGTTTATATATATTGATAATTAGTGTATGAAAAGGGTTAAACTATGTTTGTATGTAACTGGAGAAAGAGGTTAATGGAAGAGAAGATATGTGTCCAAGTGGCAGGATGGATGGGAAGCACTGTGATCAGGAAGATGGGGGGGCAAGATAGGTCTGAGGGAGGTGCTATTATGGTGTGCAGAGGTGAATTGGAGAGGGACACTGTGATCTTAGGGCGAGGCCAATGGGAGGTGGGTACTGTGAACTTGGGGCAGGGTGATTGGGAGATAGGCACTGTCACTATGGGGGAAGGCATGTGCTGTGACTTTGGGGCAAGGTGAGTGGGTGAGCATTAAAATGACTGTGGGAGGGAGGTGTTAAGGTGGTTGACACTTGATTTAGTAGTATGCTAGTAGTCTAGTGTTTTTTTGCTTTACAACCCAGTATCTGGACAACAAGGAGCTGGAGTGAATGAGGTAGAGGCTCCATAGCTTTTTTTCTTCCTCTGTGTACACGGGGGACTGATTTACAAAAGTATATACACTATATTGACAAAAGTATTGGGATGCCTGCCTCTACACACACATGAACTTTAATGGCATCCCAGTCTCAGTCCGTAGGGTTCAATATTGAATTGACCCACCCTTTGCAGCTATATCAGCTTCAATTATGGGAAGGCTGTCCACAAGGTTTAGGAGTGTGTCTATGGGAATGTTTAACCATTCTTCCAGAAGTGTATTTGTGAGGTCAGGCACTGATGTCGGACGAGAAGGCCTGGCTCGCAGTCTCCGCTCAAATTCATCCTAAAGGTGTTCTATTTGGTTGAGGTGCAGGCAGTCAAGTTTCTCCACCCCAAACTCGCTCATCCATGTCCTTATGGACCTTGTTTTGTGCACTGGTGCACAGTCATGTTGGATCAGGAAGGGGCCATCCCCAAACTGTTCCCACAAAGTTGGGAGCATGAAATTGTCCAAAATGTATTGGTATGCTGATGCCTTAAGAGTTCCCTTCATTGGAACTAAGAGGCCAAGCCCAACCCCTGAAAAACAACCCCACACCATAATCCTCCTCCACTAAACTTTTTCACTTGGTAAAATGCAGTCAGGCAAATACCGTTCTCCTGGCAACTGCCAAGCCCAGACATGTCCATCGGATTGTCAGACAGAGAATTGTGATTCATCACTCCAGAGAACATGTTTCCACTTCTCGAGTCCAGTGGCGGCGTGCTTTACACCACTGCATCTTCCGCTTTGCATTGCACTCAGTGATATAAGGCTTGGATGCAGCTGCTTGGCCATGGAAACCCATTCCATGAAGCTCTCTCTACGCACGCTTGTTGTGCTAATCTGAAGCCACATGAAGTTTGGAGGTCTTTAGTTATTTACTCTGCAGACAATTGGCGACTTCTACGCACTGTGTGCTTCAGCATGCGCTGACGCTGCTCTATCATTTTACGGGGCCTACCCCTTTGTGGCCGAGTTTGTGTTCTTCCCAGTTGCCTCCACTTTGTTTATAACACCCACTAACAGTTGACCGTGCAATATTTGTAGCAAGGAATTTTCACGGATGGACTTATTGCTCAGGTGGCAACCTATCTTTGTACCACTCTTGAATTCACTCAGCTCCTGAGAGTGACCCATTCTTGCACAAATGTTTGTAGTAGCAGTCTGCATGCCTAGGTGATTTATTTTTATACACCTGTGGCCTTGGAGGTGATCGGAACACCTGAATCCAATGATTTGGAGGGGTGTTCTAGTACTTTGGGCAATAGAGTGTATATGTCCAACAAGGACCAGCGACGTACTGGTATGTCACTAGACTTTGAGTGATTTTGTTTTTTTTAGCTGGCAGGCACATTAATGTAAAAGCAATCCTAGTGACTAGTTAGCAAGACTGGCTCCAATCATCTCTAAGGTCTAAGAAACCATAAGCAATGAGCATTTCATCACCTGTTTTGCTAGATATAACCAGCGCCATTTTTAAATTAGTAAAGCATCTGATCACACTGATCTTGCTTTAAGGGCAGGGGAGAGATCTAGAGTTAAATGGACCCCAGATATCTCAGAAAAGAGTGCCTGTCACTGCTAGAGTTAAATAGACCCCAGATTTCTCAGAAATGAGTGCCTGTCACTGACTATTGCTATCACAAGGGATATTTATATTCCCTGTGATAACAATTTATTGTCATTTTCAAGAAACTTGTGGCAAAAATAAAATCTTCCATGTCTCTCAGCAAATATCTTGGGGTGTCTACTTTCCAAAAAGGGGTAATGGGGAGGGGGTGCTATCCTGGCATTTCAGGGCCTCTGAAACTGTAATAGGTAGTGTGGAAGTGAAATGAGGAAATCATGCCCTTTGAAAGCCTGAAGGTGGTCGTTGCTTTTCAGGCCCCGTACGTAGATAGGCTCTCAAAACGTCTCACACATGTGGTATCCCCATACTCAATAGAAGCAGCATAATGTATTTTGGGGTGTAATTTCACTAATACCCATGGCATGTTTGAGCAATATATCATTTAAGTGACAACTTTGTGTGAAAAAAAAGAAAGCATTTTATAAACATTTGTGACAAAAAAATTAATCTTCCATAAGTTTAACACGCCTCTCAGCAAATTCCTTGGGGTGTCTACTTTCCATTTGGGGGATTTTTGTACTGCCCTGTCATTTTAGCACCTCAAGAAATGTGATAGCCAGTCAGAAAGAAGTGATGGGCTGGATGTAAGTTTGACTCGAACATCGGCCGTTCGTGTGTTTGGGTAACAGCGGTAAGGGCATTCAGCAGGCTGTTTGCACACCACGCTCCACAACGCACTGCTCTTTCACAGTGCATTGTGATTGGCCAAAGCAATGCACCTGAACACAGGTCAGAAACAATGTTTTGGCCAATAACAGCACAATTGGGCGGAGCTAGTGGTGACATCACCACTATCTCCGCCCAATTATTTTCATCTGACCAGCAAGTGTCAGATTATGGCGAGTGCTCGGCAGGTGCAGACGGATTGGTGGGCATCGTTCTTTGTTTTTTTTTTTAAATTTCAGTGAGTCAGCGACATCATGACAATGCTGGACGCCGTGATTGACAATGGATTACAATGATGGAACCATTTATTTGGCTTTTTTTTCCCATAAAGGACTTTTCAAAAACTTGCAATGCTTTAGCCAATCACAGTACAATTGGGCAGAACCATTTTTTGGCTTTTCAAAAACTTTTGTTTTGTGTTCAATAAAGGATTTTTTCAAAAGACTGGTCTCTTTATTTTGTACTAAATTTAACCCTTAAGTAAATTGGAAGTACAAGTACCTCTAACTCATTCACAAGGGGGGGCAGCTTTAGGGTGCCCCCTTATTTAAAGAGGGCACCCTGATGTTAATGAGCTCCCCTGCCTACAGACCCCCACAACCAGCAGTCCAGGGCATGTGCCGAGGGCATGTGGCCTGGTAATCTGCAGGGGGAAGGGGGAGGCACTCATTCGACCCCCTCTCCTTTCCTGTCCAGCCAGGCCTGTGCTCAGATCAAGGGTCTGTTAGGAATTTTGGGTGGACCCCAGGCTTCCCCCCCATTTTTTGGGGATGGGGGTTGCCCTTAAACATCCTACCAGGCCTAAAGGGTCTGGTATGTCTTTTAGGGGAACCCCATGCACTCCCCCCCCATTTATGGGAGGTGGGGTTCCCTTTAAAAATTTAGGTCCGGTAGGGCTTTAAGGGGGAACCCCAAGCACTTTTAAAAAAACAAAAAAATGTTATGTGGGGTCCAACGCTGTTTTTTTTTAATATAAAATGCCATTTTTTTTTAAATGTCAGTCCTGCTGCAGCAGGTTCTATACATTGTACGGATGTGCAACTTTGCAGGTAGTTTAAGGCGACCCCCAGGCATTATATTGAAAGGAATTTTTCTTTTTCACTTTAAGCAATGAAAATTGACTGCCCCTTTAAACACTTGGCAACTGGGCTATAGCCGAATGATGGCTACAGTGTGGTTGTCCAGTTCTGGGAGGGCGTCATATAACGTTCTCCCAGAATGCGCCCTCCTGCGCACCCCCAGCACAACGCACATGACGATCTCCATGATCGCTGTGTCCTATGGACACAGCTGATCACATGATGTGGTAAAAGGCCAATCACAGCGGCCTTTTACCACAT